GATAAATTTTTAGAGTATATAATTATTTTTAAAATATCATAATTTTTTTATATAATTATTTTAAATTATTTTATATTTCGAACAATAACGATTCAAACACGAACGAACACATCACTGTTCGTGTTTGGTTCGTTTAACTAACCGAATAAAAAAAAATTTGTTCATGTTCCTCTCATTTATTTATCAAACGAATCAAACACAAATTTATTGATGAACCGAAAGCGGACTGTTGGCGAAGAACGAGCTTGAATTTTTTTGACAGCCACAGGCGGCTTAAAGTTAAAAAAAATGTAAATCCAAAATCCGGACTCAAATCTCAAAACATTTATTTGGATCGAATTAAATTTGACATAATCGAAGCATATTTCTATATATATATAAATATGCTTCGAATTTGGATCTGGCTTGCTAGTCGTCGCCGCACCGGTGGCTACACGTTTCCTACGCCCTACCGTCTCTGTCGTACTACTTTCTGCATTCCCTTCCGCTCTCACCTCGGCAGTACAAAAATTCTCGTCCCTCTTCGTAAAAGTACAAGTCTACTCCATTCCTCCCAAAATCATCCCTGTCAAAACCCTGCTATTTAATACCTCGCCCAATAACCCTAACATGTCGGTTCTTTGCAATGTCCAAACCCAGCCCCCTCCTCCCTTTTCTTCTCCTCGCCCTCGTCCTCTCCGCCTCCTCCCACGGCGGCCATGACGACGCCGCCGCCGCAGATTCCGACTCACCGCCTCCAAATCTGCGGTCTCGATCCCTTATTCTGGTTAAGATATGGTGCTTGATAATCGTCTTCACAGCAACCTTCGCCGGCGGGATCTCGCCTTACTTTTTCAAGTGGAACGAAGCGTTCATCGCGTTCGGGACACTGTTCGCCGGCGGCGTATTTTTGGGGACGGCTCTTATGCACTTCTTGAGTGATTCTAACTCGTCTTTTGAGGATTTGACAGATAAGGAATACCCTTTCGCATTCATGTTGGCTAGTGCGGGGTATTTGGTCACCATGCTCGCCGACTGTGTTGTCACCGGCGTCGTCGCACGGGGGAGAACTGTTCGGGATGTTCAAGGAGGTGAGTGCTCGGAAAAGTTATCTTTTTTCTTTTTTTTTCTGTAATTTCGGTTCTGTTTTTGGGTTGAAGAGAAACATGCATGTGGTCTGATTTTCTGGAAAAAATCGATATTTTTCTTATGGATTGCAACCAGAACAAGCATCAAGATGTGATTTTGAATTTAACAATTGTTCCTTTCCAATTTGTTTTTTTTTCTGAACCAAACACTGTTTAAAGGAAAATTGCTAGAAAGGCTCGATTTTGATGGGGGATATTAAATGAAGAGTAGGGCCTCTTCTGATTGGGATGGAAATGTTAAAAAATTGTTGATGGAATTTTTTTCCTACGTTAATTGTGATTTTCATTCTTTAATTATTGTTTCAGAGGCCTGTTTGAGGTTCCATTTGGTTTTGCTGTTTGCTGTTGCTCATATTGAGAATGATGTTTATAATGATGCAGGGAAAGATCAACAAAACCAGTCTGGACAGAATGAATTGGGCTCGCAGACACAGCCTGAGGTGAGCTTTCTATGACTGATTTGTTTTGTTTGAGTAGTATGTACTGATTGAGATTATAGATTTAACTCATTGGGAGGAAAATGGAAGAATCTTGGCTCTTAATTTGTTTGATTGATTTGTTTTTTTTTTAATTTAAAAATTTATTTTTGTTGACCATGCTTGTATTTTGTACAAAAGTTGCTAAATGATTTCGATCGATTGACATCTTGAGGTCTCACTTCAATGCTCGAGTTTGGCTCAATAGATGACTTGTGAGACTAGCTCAAAACGAACCAACAAGTTTGAGTTAGCCTTCTCTTAGGGGTTGTTTGGTAGCCAGTTTTAGGGAGTGTTTGGCTACAAGGAGGATTTAAGTTAAATAGGAATTGAGTTAGCCTTCTCTTAGGGGTTGTTTGGTAGCCGGTTTTAGGGGGTGTTTGGCTACAAGGAGGATTTAAGTAAAATAGGAACCCGATCTACTAAATCTAAATATCATTAAATCCAAAATAATGTTTGGTTCAGTTTACGAATTAAATTCATTTGAGGTATTTAGCATAAATCTATTTGAAATATTTTTTTTTTGTGCTAAATTTGTTAAATCCAACTAATAAGTGGATTTAGTAAATCTGGATTTAACAAACGGAAGAAGCAAAAATTGGATCTAACTTAACGGCTGATTTATCTTATTTATGATATTTGGTTGGATTTATCCTACCAAACACCCCTTGAGCAGATTTTAAGCAGGATTTAGCCGCTAAATCCTGCCAAACAACAAAATGTAGCTCCATTAATCTTGAGTTTTGGTAGTCTCAAAATGAAAAAGTTATTGTGTACGTTCACCGCATGCGGAAATACGTGCGGTGAACCAATAAAAATACTCAATTTATAAAAAATGTATGTCAGTGGCCCCACTTTTATTTTTTATTTTTTTTTTTAAATCTCATTGGACAGTGCACACAATTTGTGTGCACTGTCTACACAGAATAATCACTCCTCAAAATGACGCTCATTCGCCGTAAATCTAGGATTTAGTAAATCCCGTGAATAGACAAATACAATCTAGGATGTGCAAAGAGGAAGAATGGCAAGAACAATCTTACCTTCCTCCATGATTTTTGGTCGGAGTGGAGCGGAACAATGAGAAAGATGAGAGTTTCGGTGGTCTCTGTAGGCCGCGATTCCATCGTTGTCTTCCCAACTCGCGCTAATATCGAATATATCACGAAGGTTTGTTCACGAAGGCGATGGTTTTGACGAAACCAGAGATGGGGAGGGAGATAAGTGAGATTTTTGGTCGGAGATGGGAAGTTTGGGTGGGCGAAATCAGGAGGGGAAGGATGTAAGCGAGGTTTTCGGGCAAGAGGGGAAGACGAGGATAGGTTTGTGGTTTTAATTTATTTTTGTGTAACTTAATTTTATTAAATTAATTGATTAATATATATATATATATATGATCAGTGGTC